GCAATGTCTTTTTTAACTCAAACCCTTAGTGAAATAAATTAAGAAATTAAAAATTAAGTCTGTAACAGTGATATGCCTAAGTATGATAGCTTTAATTAGAAACCTATGAATAAAATAAAAATAGTTAAGAAAAATAAATTGAGACTTGAGCCAAGCATAAAGTACTGCTTATTATGTTTAATAGAATAACCTAATTTATTGTGCATGGTTTTAAATTTTAGCATATCAGCTTAATATAATGTTTATGTCTACTTAGATATGACTTATAGCAAAGATAAGAGTGTCTCCCTCTTTTGTGCTTCTAGAATTTGGATCTAGATATACCTTAGCAATATTGCAGAGAAAGGAACCACATGTTCAAGCATTCAGTAGTACAACCTTCAGCATACAATAAATTAATTTAAATACACTAAATATACATTATTCAGTTGATATTGACAGTATGGGTAAATACAGATTTCTTCTATTTAACCCAGTTTATTGTGTTTTTGTCACACAATAGACCAAGATTCTCAAATCCATTCAAATAAATTATGAACATCCCTAAAACCTCCTTGTAATTATTCCTATTTATCATATCTAACAGCAAAGTTCCAGATAAATCTATATATTTTTCCATCATTCTCAGTAACCTAAATTTCAGAATCAATGTGTAGATACTGTTCTAATGGTGTCCATATTAGACTCCAGAAAATAAACACAGGGCAAAAAGGCCTAATTAATGATCAGTAACTTAGGGCTCCTCTGCACTCTTTGGCAGGCAGGAAAAGTTAAAGCACTAAGGTAAGGGCATGGATGCCTGGAATAAGGAAATGAAACAGTAAGAGAAAGAAAGGAAGTGAAAAATGGGAGAAAGGAGGGAAGTATGGAAGAAAACATAAACCAGGTTGAGAGATATCTAGACTTTAGTTCTCAATCTAGTATTCATTACTAAGAGGCCCCAAGGAATAATATTCTGTAACTTAGTATCCTGATTCATAAAATGAGGGATAAAAATATTTAATAAGGCTTTGTAGATCAAAAACACCATATCCCTTCTCAAAGAAAACATTCCTACTTCAAGGAATGAGAGGAAACCGAACATGCCATAGGTTTACCAACAGTGTCTACCTTTACTCAGTAGACTGGTTCTCAGTGCTTTATGATCATTCACATCAATAAATCTCTCACCTGTCATTACACACCTTATTTTTACATGCACTCCTTTTATCTGACAACCCTGGTGAAACAGACAAATAAATAATTTAAAAATATAATTTGTATAAGTACAAATTATAGCACAGAGGAGGAGCGGTTGCCTTTGTGAAGACCCACATATATGACATTTGTGCTAGACTCTGAAGGATGAATAAAATTCCATCACAGAAAAAAGAAAAAGAAAGGGACACAAAGCAGCTAGATAAAATACGAAAAAAGCAGGAGATATGAAACATACATGGATTGTTCAAAAGTAATAAAATCAGGAGATAGAACTGACAAAAGTTACAAAAGAACAAGACAAGGTCAAATAGTGAAGCCCTTCAAATGTTACGGTGAATTGCTACTTTTAATGGTTATACCAGAAAGAAGTAAAAAAAAAAAAGAAGAATTTCCTAAGTGAGACACATTAGAATTGTTATCAGGATTTATTCACATACACACATACACACACATCCCCAAAACACAGCAAACAACCTTAGGACCTCAAATATTCCACATATGCGTGAAGCCATCTTAGATGTCCAGCTTTGTTAAACATCGAAATAATAGTAGTTGCATGAGTAATCCCAGATAAGACCAGCAGAAGAGCCACCAACTTCGTCTAGACCATATTTTCAGGTTGTAAGTAAATAACTTGTATAAGGCAAGGGGTGCCACTATAGCAAAAAGCCAAACATATGGCATTTACTTTGGTATTGAACAGAACTGGAAGGGTAGCAAGTAGTGGAGGATGGAAGAGAAGTAAAGAAAATGCTACTGGAGATATTAAAAGTCAACATATGTTATGTACTGGGGAGGACGACTGGTAAGATTATTATCTTTGATAATTTGGAAAATAGAAAAAATACTTCAGAATGTTGTAAATCAATTTAAGAACATTTCTCAGCTGTTGAAACTGGCAACTAGCCCATGGGCAATTCTTCAACATGAGGAGATGTGTCAGAGGGTAGAGTGATGAAGCCAGGAGCCACACAGAACCGTTCCTAGAGTGCATAATGGGCTCCAATCAAAGCACATCCCCTGCCCCACAGTAATGTATCCTGACAATATCTAGCTGGATTTCAGAATCATAATGAACCAGTGACTGCTGTGTACCCACCATTAGGAATGAGAGAATCTTTTACAATTCTCTTGGACTGATTTCAATGAGCTCCTCTTAAACACAATGCTGCATGGGATAAATCTTTGGGAGGGCATGTTTTTTTTTTCTGCATGATGGAGGGACATTCACCGTGAGAATCTAGAGAGTGGACTGTGGTATACTGTCAACTCCCTATCAATATACTTCTAGGTGTTTACCCCTTGTGTAGTCCTGTCATATACTCAGTTTATATCTGGCCATGTGACAAACTCTCTCTTAAGCAGCCATTGTACTGTAAAAAAGTTTAAACTACATTTTTAAATGATGAGAGGCCATAAGGAACAAGACCCTTGCAGATGAGAGGTCTTCTTGAACACCCCAACTCCAGTCAAGCTCCCAGCTGAAAACATTTGGTGTGTGAGTGACTTTGGTTGACTCTCAGTGGTTCTCAACCTGTGGGTCGTGACCCCTTTGGGGGTCGAATGACCCTTTCACAGGGGTTGCCTAAGACCATCGGAAAACAAAAAGATATTTACATTACAATTCATAACAGTAGCAAAATTACAGTTATAGAGTAGCAACGAAAATAATTTTATGGTTTGGGGTCACCACAACATGAGGAACTGTATTAAGGGGTTGCGGCATTAAGAAGGTTGAGAACCGCTTCTCTACATTAAGCAGAAGAACTACCCAGCTGAGCCCTGAGAAATCACAAATCGTTGTGGTTTTAAATTAATAACCCTTGGGCTGTCTTGCCTCATAGCAATAGATAACTGAAATATATGCTTTATTTATATTTATCTCTACCAACTAACAAAGCAATTAACAGATATTAGATGCCGAAAAATAATTGCTTAACTAAATTAATTGTCCTAACAGAGTAGATTAAAAGAAAAAAAATGACATATATATATATATATATATATATATATAGAGAGAGAGAGAGAGAGAGAGAGAGAGAGAGAGAGAGTCACATTACTACTTGAGGTATGGTGTAGTCATATAAATTCCAATTAATCTGTCATTTAGGTTATATGCAGTTCAGAGATTTGGTTGTGAGGTAAGTTGTTGATAGATGGCAATAGAGTCAATCATCAAAATTATTTTCAGAGGATAGGAAGGGGCAATATGAAACAAAACACCAAAACCCACTCTTAAATATTGTAAAATGATGACTGGTGTCAGTGCAAGATCCCTATCTCTAAAAATGTCTCCAAGATGCACTCTGACTCACCTTGTGTCTGTAAATAGCTTTTTCTTTTTGGTATTGTATTCAGTTGGAGCCAGGCATATCTGCTTGTTTTTAATAGTTTTCCATGTACTTTATCATTAGTTGATTATAACCACTACTTTACTTTTGGATAAGAAAACTATGATTTTAAAGTAAGCCACAGATTTAGAATTCAAGCTTAATTCTTCCAATTTCTGCTATTCACTACAAGAAGATATGAACATTTGTATTGTACTCACTCATGTTTCTGCAATCAAATAAATTATAATAAAGGTAACAAACCATAAAAATAGATGAGTCTAGCAGTAGCTCTAGATAAGCTGATAATAATTATCATTTGTCCAAAATCAAATTTTTCAAACAGTGGAAGGAATTGTAAGGCATTTATATATAAGAATGTAATTTCACAGAACAAATATATTAAGCAAGAAAATATCTAGGCATCAGTGACTGTCACTACCTCTAATTCTGTGGTCAATGACATGAAAAAATACAAATATTTAATAGTAGTTAATCACATAAATTGTTAGGCTATAAAACTATTGTTTAAATATTTTTAAAACTTTATTTTTACCAATTAATGCCCAACTTCTTCTAATTTAAAATGTAATAAAACTACATGGTTAGTATGTCTAATATGTTTCATCCCAAGCTCTTACTGTCTCTTCAGTCCCATTGAACTCATATATGTGAATTTTTCTTTAGAGCATTTTCCAATGTAAAATATTTTATAGTGACCTCCCCACCAAAGGACTATTTGTGACTTATTTTTGTTCCATTCTAAATCTTTGTTATAGGTGAATACAAATTTTGAATTCAATCTATATTGGTAAACTTCAATGAAACATTTTAACGATTAAATAGTGGCAGAAAGCTGGATCATGCTTTATAAAAATATACTACAGACTTTTCATGCAAATATTAATATTTTCAAATGACCAAACATAATCATCGTTGGAGGCTCTAGCGAACTTTTCAATACTCAAGAACCCAAGTGTTTTATAAATATATAAAATCTTTAAAAATGCACATCCATTACCTAAGACCCATTTATATATTTTTTTCCTTATTTATTCTCATTCGTTTTCATGAGTATAAATATAGAATCAACAAAAAAGTCAATAACTTCAATATGGTTCTATAGAAAACAAATCTATAAATAATTTAACCAGAGAGGGAAATACCTCTATGTTACTATTTACCAAGCAATAATTGTATTTCTATATTTGTATTTTGATCATGAGTCCTAAATCAAAACACAATTGATATAGCTTATCTTTTTCAGGGGATATGTAAAAATTTTAAACGTATATATTTATTACATTAATAAACCCTCACAAAATTATTCACAAAGAAACACATCGTGTCATCTTGAAAATTATAGGTATTTCATCATCATAACAATGTGTAAGGTATAGTTCTAAACTTAAAAAAAACCAAAACTATCATTTAAATGTATGATAAATTATTTGAATGTTTTTTTCTTACCATGGCAAGAACCCTCAATTTCTTCATATCCTGTACTGCAGATACACCTTCCAAGAGGAACCAGCCAATCTCCATCAGCTCCACAATACAGTTTAGGAGTGTCACGTTCTTCTGCACTCTTCACACAAGAGCCCCTTACTTCAACCAAAGAGGAAGAGTCAACCCTTGGGATGGTGTCAGGAAACATGGCCAAGTTACGAACAGTGAAGGGGCACTTTTTGTAGAAAACACGGACTGAGACCAGGGCAATGCATGCCCCAATGTCTTGGAAAGCCAGGTAAAACCCTTTCCTGTCTATAGGCCCCACTTCACGAATTTCAGTGTTGAGTTTGAGGATACGATCACCCAGATCCATCTGGGTAAAACTTTCATCAGCAGCAATTGTGTCAATCTTCGTGTACTGGCTTGGCTTGAATTTAATTCCATGGGACTCATCTGATTCCACATAATACAGATTAAATGTTTCTTTGCAAGTCCCCAAGACCCATGGGATGCTGTTACAATCCCTCAGTGTGAACTTCATCTCCACATAAATTTTCTGAGCTGCATCACGGGAGATCCAGTTTGTACGAAGCCAATTGTTTTGGTTTGGTTCCATTACATTGCATACCTGGTACGTGTGAATGGGCCTATTGTGCTCATCCATTTCAGTAATGGCATCCCACTGCAAAAAGGAATAATAATAATAATTAAATGATTATAAAACCACAGTGGTTAAACAGAAATGATTACTTCCCAATTTTTCTACTTTAACAAGAAAAATGTATAAAAAAAGATACAAATGAAGCTAGTCAAAGCAACAATGCAGCAAGATTTTAACCATGAACTTTTGGTTAAGTGTATGGGTTCTGGACATACTGGCTGTCCTGGTGAATCTTGCCTTCCTACTTATTAGTTGCATGACTAAAACATAAAGCACAAGCACTTAATTTAAACTCTCATTTCTTCAAATGTAAAATGTAGCTATTTCATAGGATTGTTGTGAGGCATAAATTAGTTAATACATGTAAAGCACTTTAAATAGTTCCTGGTACACCATAAGAATGTAAAATGGCATCCATTATCTGATCAAATAACTGGACCAATGACAAATGCACTCTGGTTACCCATCTGTCCTCATATCCAAATTTCCATAAATTGAGGTATATTTACCACTATTCAATTACATATTTACATGTCTATCTTGATAGAAAATAGACACAGATAAATAAAACCTTAAACTTTTTCAAGAAACTTTTATCAGGCACTGTTCTGGACGCTTGGAATATAGCAGTGAGCTAGCTAAATAAAAACTCCTTGCTTTGATGGCTCTTACTTAGAATGAAGGGAGACAAAAATAAAAATTGTAAATCAGTAATTTGCATAATATTGTAGAAAGTACAATGGGAAAAATTAAGGCAAGGAGATGGAGAAGAGAGTTACAATTTTAAATAAGGTGTGCAGAGAAGGCCTTACTGAGATAGGGAATGCAGAACGACTACTTTCTTCAGTCTACAGGACTGTTATGACACTAAATACTTTCAATCACCTCCTGCACATTTCCACAAATAAAGAATTTATATTACTCAGCAACCAAATTTAAAAATAATATGTATCCAAAATTTTCATTTGTAAGTTGCTTGCTTGAAATATAAAGAGTATTTTCCTGAAGTAACAGAGAGTTTCTGTGAATAGAATTTTGCAAACACACCCATGGGTTTATCAAAGGTGAGCCAATGATCTCATAGAGAATCACATAAAGTTACCTATCTAAATACTTTTCATCTTAGCATATCATGGACCTTAGAAGGAAGGATAGCAAAACTCATGAACTGGGGTGGCTTGGGAGGTTTGTCAAGAAGGGGAACTTGATTTGAACTTTAAAATATTATAAGATTCAGTAACACAGAAGGAGAAGAGTTAATAGGAATTAATGTGTAACACTAATCTACATATACACACACTTTTAGGAAACTTTAGCCCTGTACCACATATATTCAGTAGGGTAAAGTTTTTGTCCCTATTCAAAACAAACACATAACTTATTCTCTGCTGTGAAATATTTTTATATACATAAACCTAGTAATTGTAGAAACCACATGATGAAAATATATATCAAACCTGTCATTAATTCTGCTAAAAGTTGGTCAGTTCAGTTAGTTTTGCTTTTACATAACAGGCACTGAACCCAGCATTCTTCAACTCCTCAAGCTCATGTTTTGTTTTGTTTTTTAATATATCTTATTTAGGCATTAAAATGGAATATCATGTAAATATAATTTACCAATATACAATGTAGAAAATCATTCAGTAAAGCAAATATTAAATCATATATATATGCTCTGCAGAGCACAATACCTTGCAAACTATATCTGTTCTTATAGCCTGGATGAGTAAAACAGAAAGTTTTTTCTACCTCATGGTAATTTCATAAGCCCTTTCCAAGGAGTGGCTAGATGAATTACAAAGTGATGAATGGAAAAGTTTTCCTGCTCAATGAGAAGTTTTGTTTAAGCAAGAATTAGTTATACGCTAAAGAGTTCTCTTTTTCATAAACTTCCAGGGCACCTTAGATGTAATGATTCCTGAGGACAACTATTTATACTTGTGAAAGCCTTTTCACAAATGTTAACTCTTCTCGCCCTAATCAGTCCAATAAACACAAGATAGGTATTCTCATTTTCACGTTACTGACAAAAAATCTAATACCTAGGAAATCAAGTAATTGCCCAGCATTGCATAGACTGAGGACTGGAACCAAGCCTTCTTACTTTATTTTTTTATATTTTGCTAGCCATCTTGCTGGCCTGGGAGGGGCTGGACCCTCCAGGACAAGGCAATTCTTAGAGATAGCAAAGGGCTTTGGGCCTAGAGCATGTCTTTCACATGCAAACCAACCAATCCCGAGTCTACAGCCTTAACCACATCCTTCTCTCTCACACCCCAAACCAATATTTCCCCTGTGCTAAAGCATCCCAGGGCCATGCCAGACAACTAGAGATCACCCCTACAGCCCAAACTCTGCGGGAATCATTGAAACTATTCTCTCCTAAATGGTTGGCTCTGCCCTGCCTTGCTTTTCCCACAAAAACCCCAACAAAGGATCTGGTTCAGGCTTTCCCCTCTCTCCTTACGTCTTCTGCCACTTGACCAAAACACTTATTCCCCTGTGGTCCTATGTGGCATGTGGTACCCCCATAATTGTGAGCTCAATAAACTTCCTTCCAAATCTAGTTCTTGATTTTCCTCCTGTGGCCACACCAACTGTACTATATACCATAACCAATATTCAGATGCTTAGAACAAATACCCACATGGGTCATGAGATACTTCTCCTGGGAACCCTTTGGAAGACAACTGATTCTTGTCTAACCGAAAGCTTTCATTAAGCAAGACACTCCAAGTGACAAATATTTTTCTATTCATCACATGTAATTCATATATACACTCCTTGACCCAATGAAAAGGACTCATAAAATGACCACGAGACAGAAGAAGCTTGCTGTTCTACTAATCCTGGCCATAGGAACAGAGACAGTCTGCAAAATATTCTACTCTACAGTAGCATTAAATAAAGAGGCCATTAGACTGAGGTGGCTCTAATGCATTGGCACCCTATGTAAGCAAACTCAGTGTAAGTTCCTTTAAATGCCTCAAGGTTGAAAAATCAAAACCTAAGAACAACTGGTCACAAATAGCCAACTAGACTTTCCCAAATCAGGCAACTGCTTAAGTTATAGCCAATGAAATAATTTCCTTGTTTTACTTCCATGTCTGCTCTGTAAAGTCTTTTCCCTAGTTTTTGTCAGCAGAGTGACTCTAATATTTTTTTGGTTTGATGCTGCCTGATTTAAATCGATGTTTGCTCAATAGCCTTTTAAAATTTTTAATATGCTTCAGTTCATCTTTTAATACATGTATGTTTTTTTTCTTTACTGAGCTCTTTTCTATATTATATATCAGAGAATGGTTTTATATATCGGTATTTAAATCGTATATTAAAATACAAAAAAATTCAAATAAATAACACGAGATAGAAGAGTTGGAATATTTCAGGTTCAGTTCCTATTATGTAAAAGCAAGTAGCAAATAGAATTCATCAGCTTAATAGCAGAATTAATGACAGGTTTGATTATTTCATCATGCAATTTCTGTAATTATAAGGCTTACATACATCTAAATATTTCACACTGGAGGATAAGTTTATTTGTGCGCTTGTCTTAAATAGGGCAGAAACTTTTACCTACTGGAAAATACTTGGCAAAGGAGTAAAACTGCCAAAAGTGTATGCATACAGTTTAATGCTTGACAGCACCTAAGAATATTTCTCCATGGAAGGATCCCTTGGGCAGTCCCATTAAAGTTGAATGTTTGTTAAAGCGATAGGAAGTACAAAGAGCTCTGAATAGTACTTAATCCATTTATGACTAAGGGTTCTCTAAAAACCTTTCCCCACCTACACACACAGTGAGTTTTTGTTTCCATAGAGAGCTAAATAAAGTAGGCCGAATAACTGAATTCCTTTTGGGCTTAGAAAGTTAGAAAAAAGACAATTAATTCCTACAGCAACTGGCAGTCACTGTGGAATCAGATGGCTTTCTTTTCTCAGAGAATAAAAAAAGGCAATCAAATAGCTTTTCTAAATAAGAATATCAGATAATTTGCTGGTAAATTGACCCAAACACCCAAGGCTCTAAGGTAAATCTCTCTAATGTATATCTGCTTCCCTTTGAAACTTTTTAGAATGCAACAGGAATATAAACATTTATTTAAAAAAAAATCTTTGGAATTTTAAAATAATAACAGACAGTCTGTTCTCTCAGCATAGAAAGGGCTGATAGAAAGCTAATTATAATTTCAAATGGCAGTGATAAATCCTGATAACTTACTCAAATTTTGGCCAAACCTTAAGAAAAGTTGTAGCAACAGAAATGTATGTATTATCCTCAGACATACATGCTCACCTCTGTATCATCAGAGAGAAAAGGAAGAGGAAAAAACAATCACACCCTAAATACCTTAGGACCCTAAGCAGCTACAGAGCTTGCGTGATTTAAGGGGAAAAATTTAAAATTCTTAAAATCAATGTTAAATATGCTCATAATAGGGACGAGGGAAGGAAGCACTCAAATAACATTGAACAGTGAAACAGCTATACCTTTACCTATGCTTCCTAAATTCATAAGTGCCTAGTTACATGTATGTAGAATTGTTTTCCTCTCTTCCCTTTACTCTGTCTACCTTTTAAATAATCTCACAATACCACTATACACTCTCATAGTAAAATTAGTTAATTCTTTAATTTATTTCTGCTTCCATTTGTAACAGATCCCAGCTATAATCTAAAAGTGATATAACTATGTGAAAAAATTTTTTCTTCATTTATTTCTTCAAAACATGGTTATGATAAATAGATAAAAGGAATAGGAAATAATAAGGTATCATTTCAGAGAGATAGAATCAAAAAGACCAAACACCTTGTTAAATTAAGAAGAATTTTATTGGTACATACTTAATTAATAAAGCAATGAGATAGCCTATTATTATTCAGATTTTTTCCCAAAAGTAAAAGATAATCTCAAAATAGATAACATAAAACAAAGAAACAAGAAAATCATGATAAATCTATAGGTATAGAATAATTCCTAGTTTGGTTCCTTGTATAACTTGTTACTGAGTATACAT